AATCCACCAGATGCTCTGCCGGGGAAGGAGGGGCAATCTCCTCCAGTACCAGTCAGATCTGATTTGACGGTACACGCACACAAAAAAATAATAAAATAAAATAAAAAAATAGAGGGACACACTGTCGGACTTCACCTAATTAATGATCAGCAATAGAATATAGTATTTATATATAAGTGATAATACAGATTTGTAACATTAGCTTTAAAAGGGAAAGTTTTGTTCTGTATATTTTGTTACCTTTTACAGAATATTAAAAGAATTAAATGTGGAAAAAAAATTGCAGAGGTCAGCTCAAGAAGACTAAGCAAAGCATGAATAATGAAAGATGCAATGACTTGGTGTTAGAAAATGAAAAGGGAATATTTTTCAAGCTAAAAGATGTAAAGAAGAGATTCAAGTCTCAAGTTGTAATATTAATGGATACTGGGGGCAAAATAGTAGGATGATGCGGGAACCATCAAACAAGATGGAAGATCACAGGGTCACCATACTAAAATAAAAAAAAAATGCTACGGAAAAAGAAGTCCAACCTATACAGAAGGCATTGACAAAAAATAACAACAAAAGAATGATTGGAATACTAATTGAGATATATCAGCAAATAGATGGAGCCCTGAATACTCTCATTATTGTTGTTAGGTGGCATTAAGTGCAACTCATAGTGACCCTATGAATAGCGATCTGAACCCTACCCTATCCTATGCCATCTTCGTCATCTCTGACACACGGGAGCCCGTTGCTGAAGTCACAATGTCAATCCATCTGTTGGAAGTCTTCCTCTCCTTTGCTGACTCTCCATCTTTCTAAGCATGATGTCCCTTTTCAAAAAACAGCTTTGCCTAGCTATACGTGCTGAGTATGAAAGATGAAGCTTCACGATCTTTACATCAAAGAAGCACTCTGGTGGTACTTTTTCCAAGACAATATCTGTTTGTTCTTTTGACAGTCAATGGGATATTCAGTACTCATCTCCAGCACCACAACTCAAAGATACCAATTCTTCTTCTGTCATCCTTATTCATTGTTCAGCTCTCTGATACATGGTAGGTGATTGAGAAGACTATATCTTGAATCAGGTGCACCTTAGTCTTCAAACTGACATCATTGCTCTTCAGCATTTTGGAGAGGTCCCTAAGAGCAGTTATGTTCAATGCAACATGTCCTGATTTCATGAATGCTGGTATCAAGGATGTTGATAGTTGATCCAAGCAAAATTAAATAATTGATCACTTCTATCCTTTCTCCATCTATCATTATGTTGACTGCTGGTCCTGTGGTAAAAATCTTTGTTTTCTTTATGTGGAGATGTAATCAATTCCAAAGGCTGTAGTCCTTCATATTCTGAAACAAGCATTTCATATCCTCACTTTCTGCAAACAAAGCTGTGTCATCTGAATCACACAGGTTGTCTTCCTCCAATCCTGATTCCACATTCTTCTTCACAGAGTCTAGCTTTGTGAATTTTTTTATTATGCCAGAAAATTTGGAAGATAACAACCTTGTCTAATCAACTGGAAGAGATTCATATTTGTTCCAATTTAAAAAAATAATGTTCACTAATTTCCATGCTCTGACCCAACAAAGAATGGAAACTATTGAGTAATATCATTAATACCACATGCAAGTAAAATATTGAAGATTTTTTAAAAAGCTTCTGAAACAGTACATTGACAAGGAACTACCAGAAATTAAAGTTGGATTCAGAAGAGACCATGGGAAGAGTGCTGATGTCAGATGGATCTTGTTTGAAAGTAGAGAATACCAGAAAGATGCTTACTGGTGCAGGATTTTTTTTCTCCCGATATGCCTGCAAAATAGAAAAATTAATATGACTATTGTGCAAATAAATGTCAATCAATCACCATAGTCACAGATGAAAGAATTAAAGATTTTGTCAACTTCTGCAGTTTGAAATTGATCAAACATCCAATCAAGATGCACTGACAGTTACTGGTAAATAGTATCTGAAAAGTAGAAACAAAGAAGGGTCAGTAGTTAGAAAAAAATGCCTAATATTGCCGGATAGAATTTTGCAAGATCATTGAGTTATTCATTGAAAATACCTGTTTCTTTTTTATTTCTGTTCATTGGCAGTTCCTACCTTTTGGCTGTTACGAATAATGCTATTGTGAACATTTGTGTACTAATATTTTTTCCATTTTTAAAATTCTTTCATGTGCTCTACCTAATTTTTAAAATTTACCTGTGTTTGGTTCTTTTTTTTAATTTTAATGAAAATTTACAGAGATTTTGGATTTCCATTCATTCATTGTTGCACTTTTCTCCCTGCCCAACCCTCACCCCGATCGCTCTTCTCATTGGAAAAAAAAATTTACCTGTGTTTTATTGACTATGAAAAGTCATACAGCTGTGTAGATTATAATAAATTATGGACAACATTGAGAAGAATGGGAATTCCAGAATCTTTAATCATGCGTACGTAAAACTTTTACACAAATCAAGAAATAGTAGTTTGAATAGAATGAAGGGATCTGCTGCAGGGTTATATCCTTTCTGCATAATGAGTGAATAATTAGAGAAACTGGACAGTATGAAGAAGAATGTGGCATCAAGATTGGAGAGAGACTAATAACCTACATTGTGCGGATGACACAACCTTGCTTTTGGAAAGTGAAGGAATCTTGAAGAACTTACTAAAGAAAATCAAAGACTATAACCCACAACATGCTGCATCGCCACCTCCACCTGCTACAGTAGGTAGGACTGAACAGATGACTAATTTTATAATTTTGTCGTCCTCTGTTAATAGGAGAAAAGAAAAATGCCTGGAGTTCCAAATGGAAACATTTGCCACATAGAACTGGAACCACATGGAGGCCACAGTGGGCCAGAACTCCAGCGCACAGGACGGTAAGTTCTGGGACATTTCATAGTTGTTATTTGGGCAAAAGCCGTGTTAATGAAGTGTGTCCACTTTACTTTCAGCCTTGTTTTTTTGATGTCTTGATGTTCTGAGAATGACTTTTCAAAAGGAACGGTAACTACTACATCAAATAATATATTCATTCGGGTTCCTTAAAACCAGGTATCATGTTTCATCTCTCTTCATTCATGTGGAATGGCAGAATAGGGGGCAGGGGAGTATTTTGTAGGAGTCCATCAGAGAGCTCTAGTGGTAAGAAGCTGCATTGCAATCCCAAAGGAATTTTAGTTCAAATCTACCAGCTGCTCCATGGGAGAAGTATAGACAATCTCCTCCAGTGTGATTAACTACTTATGAAAACCTGCTAGAGTGTCAGCTATGGGTTGGTTCCAGCTTAATGGCACACGAAACCAACAACAACATCTTGTACAAGGAGTTCTAGAGGCTTAGTGATAAGGAATTGTACTGCCAGTGCAAGTATATGTGGTTCGAATTGACCAGCTGCTCCACAGAAGAAAGATAGACAGTTTCCTCTCATTGTGATTTACAGCCTCAAAACCTCACTGTAGGGTCAGCTATGAGTTGATTCTGACTCAGTGGCACACAATAACACCATCACCAACACATCATGTATAAAGCCTTCCTACCTAACATGTTGTTCTCACTAATTTGAACATCCTCTCCCTTCCTCAACTCTTGTCTAATTCCTACTTATTCTTTGTCTCAGCATAGGAGCCATTTCCTTTAAGAAGCCTTTCAAGACTTCTAAAGATTTTTCATATAATAATCCTTATCACACTTTATTTTATTGCTTGAGTAGTTACCTTTCTTTTTAGAATAATTCATATGGAAAGGAACCCCATTGCCTTTTTCATCATTATATTCCAAGCACCTAGCATAGTATCTGACACAGAGCAGACATTCATTTAGTAGCCAATGAATAAACAGGAAGCTCTAGTGGCCTAGTGTAGATAAGGAGTTGCACTGCCCCCTCAAGTATGCAGTTCAAATCCACCAGCTGCTTCATGAGAGAAAGACAAGCTCTCTCCTACTGTGTGATAGAAAGACTCTGAAAACCCACTGGAGGGTCAATTAACCATCAATTCTGCCTCCATAGCACATAGTAACAGACAGTGGATGAATGAATACTTTTAGAGTGATGCCTATTTTGTAACATAGAATAAGCAAATAATAAATTATCACTCTGGGTGAAGAAACTCCCTTATAGCTGGAAGATGATAAGTACTACTGTAGTAATGAGTATATCTCAGAATAGAAAATAGACTCTTATAGGGTTGTTGCTGTTGTTGTTGTTGTTGTTGTTGTTGGGTACCATTGAGCCAACTGCAACTCATAACGGCTCTATAAACAAAATATCTGAACCCTGTTCTATCCTGTGCCACCTTGACACTTCCTGACACATAAGAGCTCATTGCAGCAGTCACCATGTCTGTCCACCTACCTGAGGGTCTTCCTGTCCTTCACCGACCCACCACCCTTCCCAGCATCATGCCCTTCTCCAAGGAATAACCCCTCCTAACAACATTCCCACAGTATGTGAGGCAAAAACCTCATCATTCTTGCCTCCAAATAGTAGTACTCCAACTGCACCAAAACATATCTGACATCATTACTCCTCAATAATTTGAAGAGGTACCTAACTGAAGATTTTCCCAGTGCAGTGCATCTCCTTATTTCCTGACTGCTGGCACAAAGGATGTTAGTTGTGGATCCAAGCAAGATGAAGCTGTTGACAGTTTGTCTCCTCCATCAAAATGCTGCCTATTGGTCTAGTTGTAAGAATCTTTGTTTTCTTAAGGTTGAGATGCAATCCAGAGGTGTCTGAATATCACAGGTTGAGATTATGATTCAGACTAAATTTGGGTGAGTGGGGATTTTCAGGATAGGATTCGAATCATGGAAAACAGCCTACTGTTCTCCACTCTTTTGATTTTCATCTTCTCTTCTTCTCCTTCCTTGAAATTTACACTCTTTAAACTTCTGTACTCAATAGAAGACCAAAAAGAAATGCAAGATTTTTTTTTTCATTTACAGAAAGTATTCCCTTCTTTGCCCCTTAGGAATCCATGGAGAAAGAAATAGAAGGAGATAGGAAAAGAGCATGGTGTTTAGCTAGCAGCGTCTTGCTATGGAAGTTTTTTCCCCTAGTTTGAGTAAAGTACTTGAGTGTTGGGACACATAGCAAGGCTCTGGAGAATGTTAGGTCTGGGGAGGAAAGGAATGATGGTTTGAAAAGGAGGAACTTATGAGGAGAGGGTGCAATCTGAAAGAGTGAGTTCAGTATTTTCTTTAAAGAGGGAGTTATCTAAACTAGGCTGGAATGTCTAGAATTAAGAGACTACTGTTTAGGGAAGTATCTTTCCATAGGATGGGTTCCAGGATAGAGAAAATGGTGTTTTAGGGTATTTAGAGTATTAATAGAGTATAGATTTGATAATATTTCTGAATTTGTATTATCTTTTGAGTACAAAGTGTGTTCATAACCTAAGACTTAAGAGTTTAGAGATTGTGTGCGTGCGCACGCGCGCACACACACACACACACATACGCACACATACACACACAATTACAGGATTATTTTGGTGCCAAAGAAAAGCATATACTACAGTAGGTAAGGGTCCCTAGACCTGGTCTCTGGGCCATGAAGTTTTTTGAAATGACTTATAATCAGTTAATTCTACATGTAAGTTAGGATTCCATTGGTCTAGATCCTATTGGTCCTAGAATCTCAGAAATGGTGACTAAGTAGAAAATTCCTTATTATAAAGACTGTTAACCTGCCTAGCCACAAAACTCATGTACCTTTATTTGCAATTCAGATAGAGTTCTAAGGAGTGCTCTCATAATGCTTTATCAGTAATTTTGGCAGTTGGCAGAGGAGAAAAACCAAGGATTATTTTTGGATTAGTCTTAATTCAGAGCACTTAATGTACACTTGCAAAAACTTTTTGGTACACAGACCAAAGCAGTTAGTCAAACAGAACAAAGGGATATTGCATAGTTTAAAATCAAGGAAAGTTATGTGTCAAATGGATTTTGTGTTTGTTAAAAAAAGTGTCAAGGTTGTATCTTTTCACCATATCTTTTCAATGTTTGCTAAACTATATGAGAACTTGAGCTATATGAAGAAGAATGTGGCATCAAAATTGGAAAAAAACTCATTAACAACCCGTACTCATGCTTATGGAAAGTAAAGGAGTCTTGAAGCCCTGACTGAAGAAGATAAAAGACCACAGCTGTCAGTATGGATCACATCTCAATATAAAGGAAACAAAAATCCCACAACTGGACCAATAAGCAACATCATGATAGATAAGTAGAGGGAAAAAAATGGAAATTGTCAAGGATTTAATTTTATATTTTACCACAGTCAAGACCTATGGAAGCAGCAGTCAGGAAATCAAAAGTAATTTTTTACTGGGCAAATCTGCTGCCAAGGACCCCTTTTAAAGTGCTACAGAGCAAGGATGTCAGTTTAAAGGTGCACCTGATCCAAGCCACGATCTTTGCACTTGCTTCTTATACATGTAAAAGTTGAACACCAAACACAGAAGACCAAAGAACTGATGCTTTCGAATTGTGGTGTTTTTGACGAATATGGAATAAGTACTGCCAAGAGTATAAACATATCCACCTTAGAATAAGATGCTATTTCAAAGTAAGAATGATGAGACTTTTTCTCATGAATTATGGGAATATTATCAGTTGGGACCAGCCCCTGGGGAAAACAATCTAATGATTAGAAAAGTAAAGAAGACCCCCATAGAGATAGATTGGCATGACTGCAACAGTAGACTTAAACATAGCAGAGATTGTGTTAAACATAGCAGAGGTTGTGAAGATGGCACAGTATTGGACAGGGTTTCATTCTGTTCTACCTAGGTTTGCTGTAAGTCAGAGCCAACTCAATGAGACCCAATAGCAACAACAACAACAGTTCAGTTCTTCTCAGTGTGGAAGACACTCCTCTTCCTGAATACTTGGTGTTTCCCCCAGAGTTCCTAGTATAAAAGACTAAGATAAATGAATGACCTGCCTCCCAGAGTGACTTTTTACATTTGCTGATCTAATACCTCCATTAGGAATAATAATTCGATAAATCAATTGGTGTTTCTGAATCTCAATATATGTGTGGTGTCAGTGTGAATCTTCCATTTCAGGTGGACAGCCTATGAGTATTTGGGCTTTTATAGATTACACAAACAAAAATGCCACTAGCCTGGGCTTTATAATTCAAACCATTAGTTGCACGAATCATTGTACACAAAAAAATAAATTTGCTGATACAGAAGAATTTCATGAAACCGCATATAATCAAGAGGCAATGGTGCTTAACGAAGTTCAAACTGCTCTGAAAGAATTGGCAAAAAACAAGACCCCAGGAATTGATGGGATATTATTTGACATATTTCAACAAACAGTTGCCCTGGACATGCTCACCAGGTTGTGCCAAGAAATCTGGAGGACAGCTACCTGGTCAACTGATTGGAAGAGATTTCTTCCTACTAAAAAAAAAAAAATCATCTGAAAAACTATGGAAATTATTGTACAATATCACTAACATCACACACAAGCAAAATCTTGCTGAAGATTATCCAAAAATTATTGGAACAATACATTAGCAGAGAACTATCAGAAAAATAAGCTGGATTTAGAAGAGGTCATGGCACTAGAGACCTTAAGCTTTTAGCCGAGATCCATTGACATTGGTGATAGAGTACCAGTGGAATATCTATCTGTGTTTCATTGACTATGCAAAGGCATTTGACTGTGAGGATCACAACAAATTGTGGCTATCCTTGAGAAGAATGAAAATCCCAGAACACTTGGTTGTGCTCATGCAAAACTTTTAGTTGGATCAGGAGGCATTGGTCAGAATAGAACAAGGAAACACTACATGGTTAAAAATTAGGAAGGGAATGTGTCAGGGATATGGCCTGCCTCCATACCTTTTCAATCTGTATGC